TGGTTAAGAGATAGGGACTACGCTGGTCCCACCCTGCAAGTAAAGGGAAGAAATTTCTTGAACACCATAAAGCTGCGGGGGTTGCGACCAGGATAAATGGTGGTTTCTGAGCCTGGCCGCAAACTTGGCTATCTCAACTCAAAACTAATGTTAAGGTGGGATGGTCCCTTTAAGCGATTTTTCAACGAACAAACCCATTTAAATCAGAATGACTAAACGAGGTGACGTCACACTAACGGTCGCTCCATGTTGAAGATAGGGCCTTGTACAAGGCCCATTTTCAAATGAAGGGAACGAATTTCTTCAACACCAAGAGGCCGCGGGGGTTGCAACCTAGATAGATAGTGGTTTCTGAACCTCGCCGCAAACTTGGCTATCTCAACTCAAACCCAATGTGAAAGGTGGGATAGTCCCTTTAAGGCTCGACATTGTGTTGTCTAAGATTAGACAGCTGATAACTCATTCCCGTACGTCGTAACTCTATAATGACCTTTGCTTATTGTCACATGTGCGCCGCATTCGCGATTGTTGCCGACGCCTGTTTGCAGGTCAGCCCACTACAGTTGTTACACATATCGAAAAACCGATAAACTTTTAGGCGAAAAAGGCACTATTCCAGGCCCATTTTTGATTTTTTTGCGATATTCGGTAAAAACAGAAGCTTCTTATCCTAGGAAAAATAAAATGGGAAATCTTTCAAAGGTGGCACACTACCTTTAACCCGCGCCCCGCTGGGCTATTCAGCCATACGCGCCCTGCTGGGGGGGGGGGCAGATTCTGCCCCCCTGTCTAACTTCCGAACCGATGGTCGTAGAAAGACGGGGAAAACGGCAATCGAAAGCTCTCAACAAGGCGGATCTTAAGAGCCCAAATTTTTTTGCTTAAGTAGGTCAGAGGTCAGGTCAAGGTCAGGTCAAGGGTACAAGATGCAAGTTTCTACAGTATCGGCCTCGCACCGTAGTTGCCGAAGAATGGACTGAGACTGATTGCCCAAAACGTGTTCTTAGACTACCAAGACAATATTCGTTGCATACAATGTCATTCAAAGGTCAAGGTCAAGGTCAGGTCAGGTCATGTCAGGTCACCAAAAACAAAATATAGAAAAGGGCATGTGCGACACATGTTTTATGGGTCATTTTACTCATAGAATTCAATAGGCACACTCAATAAGTGATATCGACCACCTCTGGACGAATTTCAGGTCGAGGTCAGGTCAAGGTCAGGTCAAGTGAGGTCAAATTTTGAAGTTGGTTGTTAAGGCCTAAAAAGGTGTCTATCTGATGCAGTTTTTCACGGCGAATCGAATGGTGCTATTTTTGTTTCCGTACAAGGTCTAGAACTTCCAAAAAAAAAAACATTTTTCAATTTTTTTTTGTGTGTCGTGACGTCATACAATTTTGAATAACTTCCACATTTTTGAACCGATTTTTCTAAAAATTGGTATGTAGATGCACATTGACCACTTCTTTGACATATATTCCGGTTTTTTTCGATACATTCAAAATTTTGGATTTTATAAATATTTTCCCAAAAAAAGTCAGTTTTTTGAAAAAAAATTTGGGCCAAAATCCAAAAGTTTCAAAAAACCGAGATAGCCATTTGATAGACAAAGTAGAATCACGTATAACCTTTTTTGTTACGTCTTGATTCCTTTAAAAATGAAGATGCTTTCCAATTTCTGGTTTATGTGGACTTTTGATGATTCATTTCTGATCTTCGGTGGACATTGTCATTAGGTGGACCTAAGAAGTCCACGTAAAAACAGCATCCTATCCTTGCTTTTCAGTGGACGTGTACGTGTTTTAACTCTGCTTTTCGTTTCGATGGACCCAATACAGGTCCACCGAAATTCCCTTTTAAATGTGAAATAAAAAAGTTGATAGCTCGTAGTTCAAAGATTCACCACCAGTGGCGCTAGCATCAGCTGATTGCCGCTTTCACGCGCCGCTCCGGGCCGACGGTCGCGCCAAATCCGGCCAATCAGAACGCGATCTGCTGCATTCAATAAAAACGAAACGCTTAGTAGCAGGTGGATGGTGAGTAGAGCTGCTGTGTTGTACTTAATGTTGCGTTAGTAAGCGTGATATGGCTGTTAGTAAGCATGATATGACTGTTGTAATCTTATTCATAATATATATTATTTGATACTTAAGGATAGGTAGTCTAAAAATGTGCTTACAATATTAAATGGGTTACGTTATTAGAGACTGGCACCTGTATGGCGTCGTTCAAGTCGGGGAATCCATAGCGGTGTGGGCTGTGGCTCTCGTCAATTTCTGTTGATTAACTGGCAACGTGGCTGTTGGGTGACGCGGCAGTTGTGTGTTGGCTCGATTGTGTGCGGTTGAGTGACATTTCAGTGACTGGGAAGTTTGAAGATGCCACAGCGTCGAAAAAAGGTAAGCTTCACTTTGCGCTACATTCATACGTGAAGGGCTTCTATTTAGTCTTTAGTTCTGGTCCGGTCGTCAGGGCAAGGCCTGTGCCCCCGGCCGCCTCTGTGCCTTTGGCGGTTTATAACTCAGAGTATACATACCTATCTAAACAAAAAATGAAACAAGAAGAAGTCTTGTGGTTGTGCTATCTGAAGAACTAAAGCAAACTTGTACCGGTGACATATTTGTGTCGTTTAAATTTTAAAAGAGGGTCAAATTTGGAGGATTTCCTTATTCACAAGAAGATCAGATCAGTCAGATATGTCAGTCGACTGTCAGGAATCAGAGGGACTGCTGGAGAAATTGTACTGTGTATAAGGTGATATAATAACCAAAACGTGAGGGTTAAGTCGAGTCGAAATCGTCAAATATTAACCTTCAATAACCTCTGGTGACGTCTTTTTTTTTTACCTGAGCTAAGCAATGACCAACAATTTCGTCATCTTTTTAACCCTATTAGTGGCAGGGGGGTTTTTATCCACCCCTCAGGTTTTTCGGGAATATCTTCGAAACCGCTGAAGCTACGATGCTGAAATTTTCTGACTTTTCCTAAAACTAAATTGGGCACATTCCCTGTAAATTTCAAGTTCATAACTTTACCAGGGGCGGCTCCAGAGCACTGGGAATTGGGGGGTCCTATTCGTGAAGCGAGTCATTTGGGCGAAGATCACGATGCTGCACCAGTTTTACGAACAGTGAATGAAAGGTATCATGTGATAACATATACAGTTATTGTGCATCCTCTTTTGACACGTTTTTGCTATAATAGGCGGATCCAGGCGTCCAAAAAGGGGGGGTTATGTTTTACCCCCCAACATAGGTGCCCTGACACCGCCTATGCATGACCAATACAATTGTAGTCGTTCTCTCATAAGAAAATTGTAACATAACAAGACCATTACCACCCTTTTTAGAAACAGTACAAACAAAAACCTTATTTACTATACTTTTTGTGTACCCCCAATCTCAATGATCTGTATCCGCCTATGATTTTTGAAAATGCATATTTTTAGGATCCATGTGAATTCCTGGTTCATTCTCTATCGATCGGCAAAAGTTGCGTTAAGATTGGTTCAGAAACCTGGCCGTGATAAACAGTCTAAAATGTATCTGCAATTTGCCTGTTTTTACCCCCCTCTACCCCCCCCCCCTATTAACATTTTTTAATTTTTATTTTTTAGAAATGTAGATCACGTTGAGCGAAATCGAATGCCGTTTGAATTTTGAAAATCGGCCCGTTAGATCTCGAGATATCAAGGGGGGGTCGTAAACAGCCCCCCCCTGCCACTAATAGGGGTATGCCAGGAGCCTGCCACTAATAGGGTTAATGAGTTTTCGAACGCCATCTGCCGCTTTTCGCTACGGCGCCCCGGAGCTGAGTTAGGGGGGGGGGGGGTGCTCAAACACCCCGCCCCAGCAGGTGGTGAAAAATCCAGAGGCCCAGCAGAGTGAGGGTAAAATGTTGAGATTAAGCAAGACGAGACTTATCAAATGACGAATCCCAACGATTGCAGCGATTAGATTAGTTTTGAGCTAGCATATCAGTACTTTTATTTACCGTGCCGTGAAATACGATTTGCCGGTTGCATGCTAGCAACAAAGTGCAACACAGCCCACTATGGTAAACCTACTTGTTCTGACGAAAATTCAATATATGTAGGTATGCAAAATTACTTTTTTTGCAGGCTGGGACATGATCTTGATTGATGTCATTTTTTTGCACTTGAACTTTTAAGGTCATATTATATACCACGGGGTTCTCTGGTAAGGAGCATTTAACTCACGAGGTGCTGGAGGCATAAGTTACCCCCCCCCCCCCCTTTACATTTTGTGTGACATCTCCGGAACCTGATGAGCTATGAACTTCAGTAACTTGGCATAGCCTCAAATAATTAGCAAGGGCATGTTTGAGAAAAGTTTGGTGGTCATAGCCCTGAATATTATGTCACAGTGACGTCATTAAGTTTTTTTCTGATATCGAGCGTTTTCGATATTTTTCAGCATAAAGCGTGACGGTAATTGGATGTTAGAGCACGTACTGACATATTGACTTTAGTAAGTACATATCTAAGTTGTTGTTGTTCAGTACTTCATCCTGTTCACCATAGGCCACGACGTCAAACTTTTTGGAAACCGTAGCTAACGCCAATCTATAATTGGACTTCTGCCGTCATTGTGACAATATTTCAAATGAGATCGACACTTGATTTTAACAACATCACGGCTATCTATTCAGGCATATGTGTGCCAATGTTCGCTCTTCAATCTTTACGCATTGCGATGGTATTGTCGGAGAAGTAGGTAAGGGGGCAACTTTATGCTCCCCCCCCCCCCAGCGGCTGGTGGGTGGCGCGGTGCGGAGGCCCAGCGGCTCGAGGGTTAAAAGCTAGATGTTTTATATCGACCTTCTTGAATGCATGACCAAAAAAGTAATTAAGTCTTATTTGTCATACAAAAGAAAACTCACTCGTTAATCGTCGAACACGTCGCTTCACTGATGATTCAAAACATTTACCTTGTCATGCTTAGCTTTCTTGTGACTAGTTTCTTTTCTTTTTCAGAGAACAGCTTCTTTTGGAAGGAAGAAGTGTCACAAGTCTACGCAAGTAAGTTTAAACGAAAAAGTATGTAACAGGAAATGTGGTGCCAGGAATAAGCATTGATTAGAGTTGATATAGCTTAATTTAAGTATGAGTCTCATAGTTACCGTCCTGACCAGTAAGGAAGCTTAAAAGCCTGAAAGAAACAGTATCTTTATTCAAAATAGATCATTGCAAATCCTAAAGACATAGTTTATTTGAATGTGACATTACGTTTTGTGACATCACTGGACTTCCCCGTGTTCTTCTGAGGGAAGACTTGTTAACACCCGCGTCCTGGAGAGGGTCTGAGAATTACATGCCCTGAGGGGGGGGGGGGCAGATTCTAAGCTCCTGTAAGTGCTAGAAGCACTAAGTTTTGGAGATGAGTAAGAGAAGGTAAAAAATCGCTCCGCAAGGTAAAATGTGCGGGCTCCAGGGGAGAGGGGGGCACTTTCGTGCATGCGAACATTCGTTTTCAGCAGTTTATGGGAACACGAGTGACTGCACGAGCTCAAGGTAAATTATGAAAATATGTCTATCATTGCCGCCCCTCGTGTATTGTAGAAGATAACACTGTACCTGCTCTCATGCTTGATAAAAAAGCAAAGTTGTAATAATCGTGCGCTTTCCAAACTTTACTCATAGCATCCATGTTCGTGATCCTGACTCGGAAATGTGGTTCAGCTTTTCAAAATTGGGGGCGAAGAAGCTCACTCTATTCACGGAACTGCTGCAATCTTGTTTGTTGAAAAAGTGTCATTTTTTCAACAAGAAATTTTGAAATATATTACAAATAACGTTGTGGGGCAGGTTCGTGCACGCACTGCCTAGGGGCACATTCGGGCATATTTTTTTCGTGTTTGCATTTTATGACTTTATCTGTATTAGGTTTCACTTATGACGCTCGCCTGACTCAGTCTCGGCTGCTTTCGACGTCGTGACAAGTAATTCACGCGACCTTGGCGAGGTCACGGAGGCCGGCAGTCGGCACATTCTTGTTGTCCAGCCCATTCTTTCTACATTTGTTGTGCAATGCATTCTTGTCGAAAGGAATCAAGTGAAATGACCCCTTGCCAATTTCTTTTGGTAAATTTCTGGTAATGCCCGGTAATTCTTCGAACTTTGCAGGGTGCACGGAAGTGCCCCACCCCTTGCACGAATGTGCCCCATACCTGGGGCAGTTTCGTGCAAACGTTCAGAGTTATTAAAAGTATTTTTTCTAATAGAAGCGATAATTTTAGAGGATAACTTTTAAAGAGGAAAAATATCTGCAATAGTTCTTTTCGATACTACAATCAACAATTTTCCAATTGCACCAACCAAAGAACAGATATATGGATTTATCCATTTTTTTGCACGAATGTGCCCCACTCTCCCCTAAGGTAGATAGCAACTATCATAAAAAGAGAAGATGCGCAATGCAATGAGCTAGATATAAGACCGTGGTCTCAGACTTCAAGTCAACAGTTTAGGCTCCAAAGGTCAAAATTTCCGGAGGTCAAGCGCCCTTATTTTGAGTTTTGACCCATAACTTTTGCGTCTTACTAGACCAACGATTTTGAGATCATTGTACCCTCATTTGTTCGAAAGATATAAGCAAAAAGGTGTTTCTCCCATTCACCTATAATGGAGGAGCTCATTCAAAAATCGACCTGACCTAAACTCACATAAATAAAAATGTGATAAACTTTTGTAGGCATTTACCCCCATATGTCATTCTGGAAGTTTCAAATCAATCCGTCAAATCAATCCGTCAAATCCTCGCCCGCACATGGGGGGATGCTCCCCCAGGTGATTTTGCTTAGCTGCACGTTACGCGTTTTGAGCTAGAGATCTAAAATTTGTAGCTGCTTTTCAACCTTTTTACAGATGAGCTAGAAATTTTAAGTTTCTATGATCTCAAGTTTGTGAGATATGACCTCGTTCTTGATGTCATCTCATGGCCTGGTTGACCGATTTGCCGTATTATGAGCGTAGTACGAGTCTGCCGGGTCACTTGTTGATTGTTTTTTACTTATCTAGCATATCAGGCTAAAGCCGGCGTGTGCTTAGACGATGCAGGAAGGACATGGTCAGGTCACGGTCAGGCTAGGTCACCGGAACTAGCCTCGACACATGCGTTGAGCATGCCCCAGTGAATGCCTTCTAACTTACGCTGTAACGCCCCCGGACCGACCCACCGTAACGCCACGTGGTGGCTCTGGATATATTTAATAGACCCACTGTACGTAAGCGATGTATTTATATGAAAATGTGTTACTGAAGTATCTTGCGTGAGTGAGTTGCATCCACTAACATTTGTGAATACCAATTGAGATGTTAAGACGATTTGGGCAAATGGGACATTTTCTTTAAAATTATTGGAGACAGACCAGGTGAAAGCGATCTACGATCTTGATTGAAGTGTGTTGCATTATATAGCTTGAGGTTATATTACTACATCGCATTAATAGTTCTTCATTTCACAGGAGCTATTTTTCGTCGAGAAAATCCTGCAACACGATCCTGACGGAGGAAGATATCTCATTAAATGGCAGGGTTACAGGTAAGAGCAAGATCGGCTCTTCTGAAACAGGCACCAAACATTTATACGGTCAAGCTAGATAGCATCGCGTATAGTTGCACACTGTTTTGTTCGTTGATAAAAAGTATGTATATGCAGCTTTGGTCAAGAAATCATTCTCTAAGATATTGTTGCCTAATGTTATGAGGGCTTGTCCAATGATAATTTGTAAATTATTGTATGCTGTTATGAGAGCTATTACTTTATCTTATCCTCGTATGCCGAACAGAAGAATAATGCAAAAATACTGATACTTCGAACAAGTTTTCTTCAGAATGCAAGGCAATAATTATTGCTTTGTTTTCTAAAGAAAAACTGTTCTCGAAATATCAATACTTTAAAAAAAAAATTACCATTCGATATACGAGTATATGGTCATGAGAACATACATAAATCATGGTCTACATACCAATTCCATGAGCTGCAGCCTGCATGGAGCTGCAAACGATCGCCGCATAGAGAAGCAACCGTTTAGTGAAGAAAATTACTTAGATTTTACTCATAATAACCATGTGAACCGCAATGTCCGCTTCTATTATGGAGTTTGTACCGTAACGGCAATGAAAATATGTGTTTATTTCCTTACCGTTCCTCGCCCCCTTCTTGAACACCTGACCTTTTTCATCGCAGACGTCTAACCTGGGAACCGGTGGCGAATCTCCATCCCGAACTCCTTCGCTCCTTTCACGAAGGTAAGCAATGGGAAAAAGAAAGAAGTTGATTTCAGCTTCAAACTTCGGTGCCGTGACGCCGCCTATGTATTACCATTCTTTTTTACGCACTTTATCACTCATTTTATGTAACATAATAAGACCATTGCCAGACCGTTTTGGTGGCAGCAGCAACGAACTACCCGATTTATTATGTATGCTGTTGTCTTCAAAATTAAATTGCCTGTATCCGCCTATGATTGTTCAAAATGCTTATTTTTATGCCGCATGCTAATTTTGGGTTTATTCTGCATCGATCGGCAGTAGTTGCATCAAAATTGGTTCATAACCGTGGTGAGCAGTTGAAAAGCATATGCAATTTGCTGCTTTTACCCCTCTACTGACCCCCCCCCCCCCTGATTTCCTTTTTTGGGTATTTTCTTCCTTTTCAAAATGTAGATCACGTTAAGTGGAATCGAATGTCGTTTGAATTTTAAAAATCGGCCGGTTAGATCTCGTGATTTCAAGGGGGTCCTAAACAGCCCCCCCCCCTTGCCACTAATATGGGTAGCCAGGAGCCTGCCACTAACAGGGAAGGGTTAACAAAAATGACCTAGCTACCTAATCAGAAGCACTAATAATGACATTGCACTAAGTGTTCATTGTCTCGAAATTATATCTGCTGGATGACGGCTTTCAAACATTTCTGTCTGTTGACAAATATCGCAGTCTTGTCAGAAAAATTCCTCCACTACTGCCCCTCGTACTTTTATCCGCCTCCCCCCCCCCCCCCCCAACAAGAAACGACGAATACCGGGAGGGCGGATACATTAGGTGCATCATCACTTGAATTTATCATTTTGCCAGCAAATACCACCTAAAAATAACAAAAAAGACATAACGACAGATATATAGCTTTATTTTCCCTTGATGTCATGAACTGACACCTATCACACCACATATCACATCAAATCATACCATAATCATGCCAATCGTACCGTATGCTCACTCACGAGAATGCATCGATAAGTCCAGTGCCATAGTCTGTGGCGGATACCAGGACTGTTGTGGCTGCAAGCAGTATTGAGTGAGATATGCCAGTTGCCTCCCGCGTAGCGACAGTAGACTTGGGTCATTGCGCCAGATTGCGATCAGCATCTCCGAAAGTGACGCTGTTGTCACTTCTTTAGGGCCACCGGAAACAGCGTCTTGGTCGAAGTGTCCTGAGAACTATAAAAAAACACACACACACAAATCGTTATGTCATAATATTATTATGTTTATCCACATCTCTTAGATTTTCGAATCTTCGTAACTATTCATCCAGCTAAGATAAAAATATAAAAAACTAGCTCGCGCACGACGAGGGTGGACGTTGTTCGGCCTCCCGTGAGGTTTTTCGTAATAGTAGAGCAAACGCGGCGCGTAGCTCCGTGAAATTTGGCATAACTGTTGTCATGACATGGCATGACAAATGACATGCCATGCAAACATGGTGTTGTCCACACATGGTGTGCAAGTTTAAACCTCCCTCTTTTCAAGGTCAGAATCATATTTTTGCAACTTTGTCACTGTATCAGAAGTACAGTGGATGAGTGAGCCCATTGAAAGTTGCAGGATGTAACGAGGAAATTATTAGCTTAAATTATCTATCTCGGTTTTTAAGGCGATGTTCAAGACGATCGTTCAGTCGAAGTAGCTATGACGAACATTCATTTTTTTTTTTAGCTGAGATCACTTGACGTTACCTGGTGACCTGACATTGGGCGACCTGGGTCTGAAACTTTTGCATCTACTCAAACGATGCATCAATAGCCAATAGGTGTGCCAAAAAAGGCGGTGCTCCGCTCCACCAGTTTTGAGATATCTGCGGAAAAAACACAGGTATTGTGTGTCCGAAAGCCCACCCCACCCCGACCCCCGGCCCGACACAGGCTAGGATCAAATTTCAAGTCCACGAAAATAACTAACTCTGTCAGCAATTTGAATCTGCCCACACAAACAAACAGTAAATTATGGATCTAATTTCTAAATGCCAGTGGAAGAGGTGGTGCGACCCCCTTCCCTCACTTATTTCTTATGTCAGGGTAAAGGTCAGGTCACCAGAGGTCATCAAAGGTAAAATGTTGCCCATTTTAACATTTTATTTTCTCGAAACAGCGGCACATAATTCGGGAACCAACAGAGCTAGAGCGCCACGGAAATGCGCACTCGATAGCTCATTTGACGATTTTTTTCTGGAGCAAGCCCCGGTTTAACTTAGGACCAATTGTTAAGCCTCCAAAAAGCAAAAACTTGAAGAAAGAAGTGTTTTGCGAAAAACATATTTTTATAATTTGACTAAAGAAAGGCGCGGCATTTATTTTGCCGCCATCGTGTTCCTCTCGTCAAGACGCATCTATTGACGCATCAACTATAAAGGTCATCTAAGAGTCAAAGGTCATGTTGCATATCAGTCGATCTGTATCGTCAAGCTTAACACATCGTTTTCATCCCTCTAGCATGCATGTTTTAGAAGGTATTAGCGAAAACTGTTAGAACCAATTTGTGACCTGAGATGACCCCAGGAGCACAACCAGGGGTCGCGGGTGCCATTTTCCGATGAAGTGTGTCATGTTTACTTGTACCTCAAGCTAGCAGCATATGAAAGAAGGGCTTATTCATAGTAGGACAAATGTAAGACAGTTACCTTTCGCTTCATGTCATCCCACTACACCCATGTCCGTACTGCACCCTTCCTAATGCACATATTTTACTGGCTACTGGCTAGCGTTTGTCTCTATTCCAGTACAGAACACACAGAACAAGTTTGCCTCAAGTTAGCAGCTTCATATGAAAGGAAACTAAGTTTATAATTATACACTTACCTTTCTCTCCATTTCCTTCTTCTTGGCTCTTTGTTCACAGCCGCCGCACAATCAATCGCTATGCAGAATGACAAAGTCACGTTGTGGCGCGCCCGGTGAGCCCAAAAACCGTAGTCTCCCGAGTTTGCTTGGTGGTTACTATGGCAACAACGCAGCGCGTGAATTTTGGCAGTAGCCACGTGGTGGCGAAAAACGGAACTGATTCGCGCGAAAGTTTCGTGCGCATAATTTTTAAGCTGCATCGGTGGACATGGGCGGGTGTCCACAAAAAAATGAAATAAAAAAATAATAATAAATCGGAATATTTTCAACAGTCCACTCAAATGCAGGATTCTATGTTTATTTTAAGCGATATTTATTATTCCGTGTCCACCCAAAAAAATGAGTACACCCAAGTACGCCAAATTGTGCTTTCGTGTCCACCTATCCTGGAATTAGGAATGCACCACTATGCCATGCCTCCGCGGCGGTACGCAGCCTCACTTACCGACTCCCTTTTGATGCATACAATGTCGCCCCCTACCTCTCAGTCATCCGACACAAACCCGTGTTCAGCCTCTCTGTCGCCCATTATCAAACATTTCCATTTACACCGATCCAAATGGTAGCTTATTATGTTCTGAGACTGCTTCTCTGTTTTTTTTTTCTGTCCCCTGTCTTGTGTCTGGGTACCTGCGCTATGGGAAACTTAGGCTGCCCCGCGGTAAAAATTTGATGATGGAATTAGGGGACATCATGAACTTTTGGGATTACCTGTGCATCGTCATTGAGATTACTTTCCTATTTCAGAAAGCTCGAAGCTGGCCGGTGGTATCCACACCGGAAAGGAAGAGGATGGGAAGGAGAACAGTCGTACAGTCGATGTCAGCGAGCCGTCACAAACTCCCAACGCTGGCATCCACATCCAGGTGTGTAACACGCTCCGAACGCCTGTGTAGAAATGTCAATTTGCGCACGCCCGTGGATTTCGGCCGAACACGATCGCCCGCGGGGAGGGGGTTGAAAACCGCCCCATGAGATCACCAAAATCCCGCAACGCAGCGAAAAGTGGTAAAAGGCATCGGACAGAGTCACAGAGCGCATCGGTAACTAAAAGATATACACAAAAGATTATGTGAGCTTAATATTAAGGTCAGCAAGGATTTAACCCTATTCCTGGCGGGGGGGCTCAGGAGCCCCCCCCCCTGAGGTTTTTTGGTTATTTCTCCCAAACGCGTTGAGCTAGGAAGCTCAAATTTTCTGACTTTTCCTAAAAGGCTTCTACGCAACATGTTTGAAAATTTTGAGTTGATCTGACCTCAGGTCAGGTCACCAGAGGCGGTTTGGTGACCCTACCTCAGAAAAGTTTGCAATCACGCCAGAGCTAGAGTTTTTGACCGATCAATTTCTTCTCTTCAGGCTTTAGTTAGGGTACCAGTATGTGCAATTTGTATATCTCGGAATTTTGATATCGGTGACCTAAGGTCAGGTCAGTTTCGCGACCTCCCCATTATAAGTCAATGGGGGAAAAATCAACTCCCTGTTTTTACCACTAAAACGGGTGGGAATGGCCCCATATACCATACATGACTTCATATACGATCAACCTTCACTACCTTGAGGTCTGTTTTGCTGTTGGGCAGCTGTGAGGTCATGTGACGTCATCAAAGGTCACCAAAGGTTTTTGGCCAATAACTCCGTACAGGAACAAGATACAGACGCGTGGATGGTCTCATTGTGTTCAGCTCGTCAAGACGCATCGAATGATATACATGATGACCTCGAGGTCACGTGACCTGAGGTCAACCTTTGACCTTGACCTTTCGAGGTCAACATATATATCATTCGATGCGGATTGACGAGAGGATCACGATGATGCCCTTAGTTTGTTCCTATCTGGACTAATTCGAAAGTTATTCGAGAAAAACTCTCCATATCTAGCGCCGCCATTTTGACTTTTTCGACCCCTGTGACGTCATCTTTGACCTGACCTGAAAATGATCTTCGTAAAAATTGTAGATCTTGACCGTGCGTATCCGATGCCGTTTACCGTTTGTCGCTGTGATGTGTAGTTTTTGAGATCTGAAGGGGGGGGGCCGAATCGGCCCCCCCCCGCCAGTTTCTTGTCCCGGCGGAGCCCGCCAGGAATAGGGATATGAGGGTCAAACTTTCCGTTTCGTCTTTAACCAGAGATTCATTAATACATAACACCACGATCATTCTGTGAACTAACGCATGTTCTTATATAGTCCCATCTCATAGGTAAAATATATTTGATAACATATACATGACAGTTGGCAATAAAGTAAAATTGCAAGAGGTTCATTACACTTATACTCAGGTTGGGATTTTCAATAGAAAATCACAATTCTAAAGAATAGTGATTGTCTAATTGAAAAGTCCCAACCTTCGGATAATGTAAAACAATATAAGGCTAAAGTACAGCATCTACCTGAGAACACTCAATCATTGCAATGCGTATTATGATCAAGTAACAAAATTGACCTGACTATATAGATCGATCCCTGTTTAGCCATGGCGCAATCGCAAACATTTTGGAGGTGGGGTGTCAATTGGTCCGACCTGGTGACGACCGAGATGGTCTGAGGCTTAACCCTCGCCCGTATAGGGGGGGCAGGGTCGAACGGACCCCCCTCAGTTTTTCGCGAACAACTCGCGTAAAAAGCGGCCGATCGCGACGAAACTTTCAGTACCCTCGAGTTAATCAATTTTACACCTATCCTGAAAATGTCATGATCCCATGACCTCAATGACCTTTGACCTGTTACCTACTTTTCGAGACCATGTTTGACCGGAATCGCGATTCGGCGTATGTCGGCTCGCATTAGCCGCGCGTTTGCAAGCTTTTCGTGGTTACAAGCGTTCAAACATGGGATATTATGTTGCTCTAATGCATTAGGGTGGATATCAAGGTCACCGGAAGGTCAGGTCAGGTTATTGATCTTTGATGACCTCGGTTCACTTTTTCGAGATTTACATGTTACTAGGCTTGTTTGTTGAGCTGATATCGAATTTAGCAGCCATTTGAACATTTACGAAGTAGTTTTGGTGCCTTCGTAACATGTTACGAAGCTGTCAGAGGCGGTTGCCACCTACTACGAATACCCGGCAAAACCCTTACTGGTTGACCTGACCTGACCTGACCCGACCTGGCCTAAATGCATGAAGACATCATCTATGATCCTGACATGATATTCGTGATCAGCACCCCGAAAACCCCATAGCAGCCACGTTTTACGACGTTCTAACAGGTCCCGATTTTCCCGACTTTTGGGTCATTGACCTGACCTGGAAGGTCAACCGATGACCTAGGACCTTAAAATTTAGTATCATTGGCATCTTCTCTTCACGGGCAGCACGCTCGTTCTTTCCGCGAAGCTCTAGCTCGATCAGGGGCGAAACGGCAAGGGGGTGTCCAACGGACCCCCCCCCTTATACGTTCGTGGCTGAAAAAACACCAATACGGGCGAGGGTTAACATGCGCACTGGGGGGAGGGGCAGAATATGCCCCCCCCCCCACCTGTTTTTTTCGAAAATAACTAAAAAAGGCGGTACTGCGCGCCACCGTTTTTTTAGCATGCATGCCTATAATTCAATGAGATATCTTTTGAGAAGATTTGAACCCCTACCTTCAAAGATCAAGTCACGAGGTCAGGTCAAAGTCAGAACTTTACTTCGGACCGCATCTTATCTTCAAAGCTGTGCTGTAGCGTCAGTTGTCAACCAATGGACATGAAACTTTCAGAATGATATCCGAGCGTGCATACCTATAATATGTATATCTCAGATTTTCCATTATCGTGACCTCAGGTCATGCCAATTTTTGATCTCGCCCATTAGCCTATGGACCAACAATTTTGTGTTTATAAATTTTGAGCGAATGCAGCTAGACGAACAAAAGCGGTACCAAATTACTCCTCTCATCCATACGAATCGATTGATATGCAACTTGAACCCATGTCACTTGATCTGACCTTTGACCTCAGGTCAGATTTTGATATTAACTTTTCGAGGTAAAATTAGATATCATTCGATTCGTCTCAACGAGAGAAACGCAATGACGTCAAAATCACTGCTCTATCTTTAATAGGTACAAAGTTATTTACGAAAAGCCGTAAGTTAAAAAACGGTGGTTACCCTCGGTAGGTAAACTTTAAACTCTAGAGGCAAAACGATTGACCTGAGGTCGAATCTGAGGAATTATTTCAGATAGGCAATGTCATTGCGCATCTTCTGTTTCTTATCCAAATTGTTTCTATCTGCCTAAGTTTGGGCGCTAGAGCTCTTTAACTGAAAGACTGCACGTCGGACCGGGCATTGCGAAAGTTTTGAAGTTAGGACGTCATTTGATCCCCAAAAACGTGACCTAGAGTCACCAGATTTGCACCATAAAGAGTTTTTGTACACGCCTACCCATAACCCACCCATCCCCAATTTCGTTTTTCTACGCCGTTCAGGATCTGAGATAGCAGGGGGGGGGGCAGAATATGCCCCCCGCGTAGTTCTCAGACCCCTCTCAAGGGCGCGTAAAGTGCGACAGGGAAGATGCGCCATGGGATTGGATGTATCAAAATGGGATGCCAATGGGATAAGACGTGCCAAAAACGTAACGCCGCCTTTTTGCGCAATCCTCGATAAACCTGGGGGGGGGGGGGGCGGAAAACAACCCCCGGGCGTGCGCGAGTTAAAGCTTCGCCGTAAGATAGCACCGTTTGTTGACCTCGTGAGTCGTGGTCGCCATGCAGCAGTGTTGTTTTGTAGCCATTTTCGGATCATTTGGGGAGCAACGAAATTTAATTGCTGTTACAAATTGCTACAGCGCCATGCTCCACTTTAAGTTGAAATTGTTTGTTGAATTAGTGGATGTCCTATCAATGACACAGGTACACTCGGGGGCAGATTGATGTTCCACCACTCCCTACCCATCGGGCTCCCATGGCTCAGCACTGGCTGCTGCCAGTGGCAGCACTGGCAGCACTGGCACTGGCAGGCAGTGCTGAGCAGTGCTGAGGGCAGGCAACACTGACAGCAGCCAGTGCTGAGCCATGGGATCGCCCGATGGGTATGGAGTAGTGGAACATCAATCTGCCCTCGAGTGTACATAGTTGAAAACACGTCATATATACTCGTATACCCAGCAAGAATGCAAACTGTGTAAGTTGCAACTGTCTTTAGTGGTTATGTATGTTAATGTAATATTGCTCGTCAGCACGGGGAGATGATGCAACCCCTCTTGTGTTTTTCGTAGACAGCTCGTGTAGTTATCGACTGATCGCGACAAAGCTGTAATACGTCCCTTGATCAGCGTGATAAATACGTACCCCTTTTTTCCGAAACTCCACTGTCCCTTGACCTTTGAGCTGTTTCCGAGGGCATGTTCACTTTTCAGTACCTCGGTTACTGTCCGTGAGCTGTTTTGTCTCGGTACGGTCACGTTTTCCTCAGTGATCGCTGCAATCATGTCATTACCTTGTGATAACAGCAGGGCACTCGTGATGACCAAAGTGCGTTTTGGTACCAATATCCTCTTTCACTAGGGCCATGCTTGGTCATATATGATCACTGTAAGGTCAAGGAAAAAATGATCAAATAAGGTCATGTCACAAACATAGGTAATGTGACTCCAAAGTCCTTTCATGATGCCACCGCAGCAGTGATCAAATGTCGTCGTCTGAGTCTGACCACCGTTTCCAGGTGCCACGTGTACTCGACTCGGCACGGGACGACAAGCAACAGCCCCAACAGCACCCCCCAGAGCACGCACCGTCTCCGGCTGTCTCGAGTACTGACGGAGAAGACCATTCGGATGGCGACAGTGATTCAGACGCAATCGATATTGACGTCGGAGAGAGCACTGTTAATCCTCGGCGTGCGCTGATTCGTAAAGTGGCGGAGACCTTGGCGCGGAGATCAAAGTCGTCGATTCCTCTGAAACGCTCTTCAAGTCCCATTCAGTGTCCGGCCAGGAAACGAGCCGCTCATGGGTCGCCGGACAGCATGAGCCCCGAGAGAGACCACCAATTTACGTCTCATCGAAGGAGTCCGTCACCGCACGCTGCTCTGCCCGTCTGCGTTAGCAGCGGATCGTCACTCAAGCCATCCTTGGAACCGACCGAGCTAGCTATTCGCAGCAGGTTAGTTAATCCACGAGGCGCTGGGGGGGGGGGGGGGCATAAGTTGTCTCCCCTTTACGTTTTGTGTGATATCTCCGGAACCTGATGAGCTATGAAGTTGTAACTTCGCATAGCTTCAAATAATTAGGAAAGCAATGACATGTTTGCGAAAGGTTTGGTTTTCATAGCCGTAAAGCTGACGTCACGGTGACGTCATTATTTTTCCGCTATCGAGCGTTTCTGGTGTTTTTCTCGGCATAAAGCTTTGTTGTCAGGTAGTTGTCAGGTAGTTGGATTTGAGAGATACTATACTGACATACTGTCTCATGTAAGTACATTTCTAACTCGTTCCTGGTCAGTAGTTCATCTTGATTCACCATAGGTCACGAGGTCAAATATTGTGGAAAACGGAAGGAACGCCAATCTATAATTTGACATTTGACGTCACTGTGACGTCAATTAAAATGGGATCGACACTAAATTTTGACACAACCTCAGCTACCTAATCAGGTGTGTGCAAAGTTTCGCTCTTTTATCTCTACGTATTGCGACGCTTATAGGTCACGAGGTCAAATATTATGGAAAACGTAAGAAACGCCAATCTATAATTTGACATCTGACGTCACTGACCTGACCTAAGATGTCATCAACAGATTCAGAACCAAAGCTCGGGTAACATCGACTTTATCTCGTCACAGACCTCTATAGTTTGTCTTATGGCGAGCTCTAGCTCAATTGGGACCAAACGGCAGGGTATGTGCATCACTTCCCTTCTTACGCAGACACGTGCAGTGAATCGGCCCTACATTGGCGAGGGTAAAACTTTCAGTTCGTGGCTGAGACGAAGTTGAGGTCAATTTCTCTCCCCCACCTCGACCTCGACTTTTTCGTGGTCACAAACTGAAATATGTCTATGAAAGCCTTGCTTTTGGGTTCCGTTGATTTCAGGTTTGGTTGGAAAAATTAAAGACGTTCAGAGGGAAAAAGCCAGAAAAAAAGCAAATCAGAAAGAGCTCAACGTCACCTTGGCACTGCCTGCGCGCAGGTTATAAACAGATCTTTCAGCATAATTTATACCATGCTGCTGCCGCCGACAGGGTGCGTGGTGAGAAGCAGGAGCGGGAGTATCCCAGCGGCAGAACGCTGGAATGCAGTCATCTGGTTATGGACGACCGACATGAGATCCGACTTCCGACTGCAGCCCGACCTGCCTCCGTTGGGACTACCGTGGTCGGAGACACCAACCTCAATGCAACTGCTGCTCAGGTACCATAATGTAACTATAGATATTAGCCGTTTTCACGACGGGCTACCCGGCGAGTGCACCTAATTCGACCAGATCTGCACCTAATCTCTTTTACAGCAAATATCTTTAGTTTATTAACCCGCGCCCCACTGGGGTCTGCGTATAACACGCCCTATTGGGGGGGGGGGGGGGCTATTCATAGCCCCCCCTTCTAACTCCGAAACTACTGGGCCGATCGTCAAAATTCAAACGGCGTCTGATAGCCCTGGAAAAATTGTCGAGCGAAACCTAATTTCATTGACCTCGAGGTCACCAATGACGTCACAGGTCAGGTCAAAGTAAAAATTATTAGCATCTTGGCTTGTTCACGTTTTGGGCTCTGGCCGCCGTCTTACAAGTCAGATCAGGCTCATTTTTGGTTCACACACTCGTGAACAGATGCTCTAGATACCCTGAGGGTACCAAACTTGTACTTTGATTTTCAGGTTAAGGTCAGGTCATCACAGGTCACGAAAATATTATATCATGCGTCGGTCACGTGACACATGTTTTATGGTCCATTTAGGCCAAAGATTTCGAATTTGATGTCGTCTGTGTCATTCGAGGTCATTTTGAGTCGAATTTAGCTTAGGTCAGGTCACTTTCAGGTCAAAAAGGTCAAATTTTGAAGTTATAATTTTTCAACAGAAAAGGTGTCTATTGGATGCAGTTTGAGCTCAGGAACACGATGGTGCTATTTATATTGGCGTACGATGTCAAATACGTGGTGAAAAATTGATTTGAAAAATTAATAATTGTGAATTTTTTGCAATAATGCGTATAACTTGGCCATTTTTGAAGATATTTAGCTAAACTTGCTAGTTATTCATAATAACGCGTTCTATCACATATATTCTGGTTTTTTCGAAAAGTCAAAAACTTTTTGAAAAAATGTAAAAATATAAATTTTGAATTTTATCATATAAAATTTTCAAAATTTTCCAAATTTCGAAAATCCGAGATAGCAGTTTGATAGCGCAGTCTATTCTGAGTCCTCTCATGCAAAGAAATTGGATCTGGCTTAAAAACTGAGCCCTTGGGAGCGATTGCCGTGGTTCAATGTTTTGCGTCGAAATCGGCCGAACATGACGTCACTCTGACGTCATTTCCGGCCGACCTATGGTAGCTACGAAGTTCAAATTTTGACACAAGGTGTCAAATTAATGCAGCCGAAGGTACTGACAGTTTGGCGTCGATACGTCAAGCGGTTTGGAAGTTATTGCAGAAAAACAGGAGGGGGGGGGCTATAAATAGCCCCCCAGTGGGGCGCGGGTTAATTAATTTCAGTGTTTTCATCGATGATACTCTCTTATAACATGACAAAGCAGGCATATAAGCAATTAGTGCAACCCTAGCTGATAGCTACTAAGAGACACACTGGACCTGATTTGACCAGATCTGCACCTAATCTGCACCAGATGTGTACCAAATGTGTACCAGATGGCTGTCGTGAAAACGGCTATTATCCATCCATCCGTCTTCCCTGTCATGAGTGTCATGCTTAACCCGGCAGTTGCTGGGGTATTTCGCCACCCACCGCTGGGAGGGGGGGGGGGCGTTAAACGCCCCCAGCCGATAACTCGAGAACCAATAGGCGCAGCGAAACGCACGAGGCGGCAAACGAAAGAGCGCGACGGGACGCTTCAGATGAGTACTTTAAAGTTGAATTTTGAGGTCACAGGTCGGGTCAAGGTCAGGTCAAACACCTGAAATCGGGCTTTCAGTAGCATGGACTTCAGGGCTTCGCAATGGGCGCCTCTCGCCATAAACTCTGTCAAAACAGTGCACAATCCGTCTTATAAGGCCTACAAGAGTGTCAGCTCCATGTAGGGGTCAGTCAAGCATAGGTCAGGGTCAAGGTCAGGTCAACCGGGTAGGCACATATCCCCGAAAATCAAAACTGATATTCGCAGCCTGTGACACATGTTTTATAGGTCATTTGGAGCGTAGAACACGATGGTGACATTCATTTTATCATATGTGTACGTGTTTGGCTCAAAAAGTTCAATTTAAGAAATTCATGTATCATGGTCGTTAAGTAGTCACGAAAAATTGCCAAGATTCAGTTCACGATTATGGAAAATACGGAGCAATAATCAATAATCGAAGATAGCCATTTGATTGATCATGGTATTGGCAGTCTAATGGCGTTTACGGCATGTCTGTATATCTATTCTGTGATTTTATATGATTTTTTGAACATATGCTGTTTTTGGTCGAAAACTCAGAAATAATGACGTCACTAAAACCGCGATTTCTCAAAAATTTTCCGACCCATTTTTTTGAAACTTTGTCACAATAAAGTTCAATCAATTCCCTACAGGTACCCAAAATTTGACGCGCCTGCGGCGCGCCTATGGCCCGGCGAAAAAGTGGGGGCGTTTAACGCCCCCCCCCCCAGCAACTCGCGGGTTAACCCGCGCTCCACTGGGGTCTGCGTATAACACGCCCTACTGGGGGGGGGGGGGGCTCTTCATAGCCCCCCCCTCCTAACTCCGAAACTACTGGGCCGATCGTCAAAATTCAAACGGCGTCTGATAGCCCCGGAAAAATGTCGTGCGAAACCTAATTTCATTGACCTCAAGGTCACCGATGACGTCACAGGTCAGGTCAAAGTAAAAATTATTAGCATTTTGGCTTGTTCACATTTTGGGCTCTGGCCGCCGTCTTACAAGTCAGATCAGGCTCATTTTTGTTTACACACTCGTGAACAGATGCTTTAGATACCCTGAGGGTACCAAACTTGTACTTTGATTTTCAGGTCAGGGTCAGGTCATCACAGGTCACGAAAATATTATATCATACGTCGGTCACGTGACACATGTTTTATGGTCCATTTAGGCCATAGATTTCGAATTTGATGTTGTCTGAGTCATTTTAGGTCATTTTGAGTCGAATTCAGCTTAGGTCAGGTCACTTTTTGGTAAAAAAAGGTCAAATTTTGAAGTTAAAATTTTTCAACAAAAAAGGTGTCCATTAGATGCAGTTTGAGCTCAGGAGCACGATGGTGCTATTTATATTGGTGTACGATGTCAAATACGTACTGAAAAATTAATTTGAAAAAGTAAAATAATTGTGATTTTTTGCACTAATGCGTATAACTTGGCCATTTTTGAAGATATTTAGCTAAAACTTCCTAGAGTAAGTCATAAGCATGCGTTCTATCATATATATTCCGTTTTTTTCGAAAGGTCAAAAACTTTTTGAAAAAATATAAAAATATAAATTTTGGATTTTATTTTATAAGATTTTCGAAATTTTCAAAATTTTGAAAATCCGAGATTGCAGTTTGATAGCACAGTCTATTCTTAGCCTTTTCATGCAATATAAATGGATCTAGCTTAAAAACTGAGCTCTTGGGGGCGATTGCCGTGGTTCAATGTTTTGCGTCGAAATCGGCCGAACATGACGTCACTCTGGCGTCATTTTCGGCCGACCTATGGTAGCTACGAAGTTCATATTTTGACACAAGGTGTCAAATTGATGCAGCCGAAGGTACGGAAAGTTTGGCGTCGATACGTGAAGCGGTTTGGCTATGAGTAGCCCCCCCCCCCCAGTGGGGCGCGGGTTAAATACGATAATAGCTCGAAAACGGTTGGGGCCAAAGATTAAAAATTTGGCAGTGGGGGAACATCTTGTGTTAGAACTTAATTAAAAAGCACCCAACGGGGCGTCGTCAGCGCTATTGTTTTTTTTTTATAATTTTAGTTCGAATGATTGAATGAATGGACAGAGCCGGAGCCCACGCTAAGCAGAGCGTGGGCTCGACGGATCCGCAAACTTCAAACGGAGTTTAAAAGCCCTGTCAAATTTGCTGTGGGAAGTCCAATTTCATTGATCTCGGGGTCACCGATGACGTCACAGGTCAGGTCAAAGATAAAATGTTTTGCCGTTGACGGGTCTTCTAGGTAATGCGCTATAACATCGAAAACGCATTTTATCGAAAATCAGCGATAGGGCGTCAGTTGCCTAGTACATATGTTGCTAGTTAGTAGAGATCACTGATAATACCAGGTCAGGTCACAGGTCAGGTCACCAAGGGTCAGCACATGAACCCAGTTTTACTAGAGCAGTGCGATGCATGTTTTATGGCCAATTTTCCTTTCCAACTCAATGGTGTTGGTTATAAGACCATCAGGGACGGTTTAGGTCACTTTCTGGTGGAGGTCAGGTCAATGTCAGGTCAAAAAGGTCAAATTTCAAAGTTGATATTTTGCATAAAATGGGTATTGATTCGACGCAGCTCGTAACGGCGAGTCTAATGGTGGTCTTTGTTTTTCGCAACGTGGTCAAGAATTGCTAAAAATTGAGTTTGAAAATTTAACGTCATCAATTTTAACCCTCGCCGGCACAGGGGGGTTGATACACCCCCCCCCCCTAAGGTTTTTTGCGGACAACTCGCGTAAAAAGCGGCCGATCGCGACGAAACTTGTAGTACCTTCGCGTTGCTCAATTTGACACCTACCCTGAAAATTTCATGACCTTGACTCAAATGACCTTTGACCTGTGACCTATTTTCTCAGACCATGTTTGGCCGGAATCGCGATTCGGCGTATGTCGGCTCGCATTAGCCGCGCGTTTGCAGTCTTTTCGTGGTTTGAAGCGTTCAAACATGTGATTTGACAAACAACCATTTGCTCCCATGCACTGGGGTGTATGTCAAGGTCACTTGAAGGTCAGGTCAGGTCATTGACCTTTGGTGACCTCGGTTCACTTTTTCGAGTTTTACATGTTTCCAGGCTAATTTTTGAAGCTAAATTCGAATTTAGCAACCATTTGAACATTTACGAAGCAATTTTGGTGCCTTCGTAACATGTTACGAAGCTGTCAGAGGCGGTTGACACGTACTACGAATACCCGTTACGACCCCTACCGGTTGACCTGACCTGACCTGACCCGACCTGGTCTAAATGCTTAAAGACATCATCTGTGATAAAAACTAACACAATATTCGTGATCAGCACCCCGGAAAACCCCATAGCAGCTACACTTAACGACTTTCTAACAGGTCCCGATTTTCCCGACTTTTGGGTCATTGACCTGACCTGGAAGGTCAACCGATGACCTAGGACCTTAAAATTGGGTATCATCGGCTTTCTCTCGTGACGGGCAACACGCTCGTTTTTTTCGCGAAGCTCTAGCTCAATCAGGGGCCAAACGCGAGGGGGGGGGGGTCGTACCACCCTTGTGCCGTCGAAGGACGCGAAATGGCCTGTGCCGGCGAGGGTTAGCAGTTTTTTCGCTATAAATTGGCCAAAAAGAGATATCAATCTAAATTTTGGTATGTGAATAGTCGTCGGTAGAGGCTATCATATATATTCCGTCGAAAATCGAAAAATGCTTTTTTGCTATTATATTTAAAAAATATTTTTGTGGCTTAGAATTCAAAAATTTCGAAATTTCGAGATGGCAGTTTAGTAGCCCTGGTAATTCTACATCTTTTACGTCCTAACCGTTTTTTTTTCTGTATCTTCAAAGCTACAGGCCTGACAAGTCTTCCCGCGAAACCTTTTTTGGGTGGAAAACGGCAGAACATGACGTCATTCTAACGTCATTTGCAGCCAACCTATCATATTCTTTGGAAAAAAATGGTCACAATGTGTAAAATTGATGCTCGGGAGGGTACTGAAAGTTTGGTGGCGATCGGCGCAGCGGTTCTGGAGATAGATCGAAAAGTCTAGAGGGGGGGCAAAAAATAGCCACCCCCCCCCCCCACCAGGGCGCGGGTTAAGACATTAAACGCTTATCCACACTCTTCTCATGAACCTTCCGTATCGTTCAGGGACATTCATATATAGTTCGCATCGCTCCTGGATATGTGAACACCTAAATGTCCTGCATGGATAGCCCCTATCACTTCCTTTGGTTCATTGCCTTCAGTGTGGAACCAGCCGAGTGGGCACACGGATCGAGTCTGCCGGTGACGTCCTGATGCCGGAGCAGGACGACCAGATACTTCAGGTGGTGCCAGAGAACGAAGCAGAGCCGTTTTCTCCAACCTCCGTTCTTGGCCCAGTCTCCGACGACAAGCAATTTGCTGCTTCAGCCTCAGCAGGTCAGTTCACGATCAGTCTGATATTTTATTTCATGTTCTGCTTCAACCATGTTCTGACCATGTTTATGTTTCACGGTAGCGTGATTTTAGTGTCAACACTTTTTCGACGGTATTGATGTGGTAACGGTGTAGTTTTACTTAAATTTAGTACTTCAGGTGACCTAAATATCAGGCCACGAAGCCACGAGGTAATTTAAAGGGACTATCGCAACTTTGAAAATAGCATAAGATGCACTCCGATACGTTCAATGGGTTTTACTGAGCTTTTTTTGACATTTTACTCCACAAAATTGGATAAGTTCAAATAAATCGAAGTTGAAATATTCGGCATGAAGGTGGACTGGTGACGCAATACATATTTATTTCACCGTTTTGTGCTACCCAAACAAATTTGACAAAATAAGATCTTATTTTGCGACATATATGGTAAATGTGTTACACATGATAAATATTTCAAAACACGGTGATTGTGGCATTTTGTGAATTACCAATTTTACAGCTTAACCCGCGCCCTGCTGGGGGAAGGGTGTTTGAACCCCCTGTGTTTTTTGCGTTTTTTGCACACCTTATCATACATCTTTTTCGCACATGCTGTGAAAAGTTTTAGCCCAAGGTCACCAGGTCACTTCAAGTGACCTAACCTCCTACACAGTTTCAATGCCTGCCATAGCTATACCGAGTGATCGATCGCTTTGAAACTTTCAGTGCTGATAAATGTAACAATATTTACAAAATGTTTATCTCGAAATTTTGATATCGATGACCTAAGGTCAGGTTATTTTTTCGACCTCTCCATTATAAGTCAATAGGAGAAAATTGAAAAGCGCCTCTTTTAGACGAACGCCATTCTAAACATTTTCAAACACTGAATTATGAGTAAACATAACACGCTGAACCGAAAATGGCACTCGTGACCCCTCATTATGTCCCCGCGGTCATCTCAGGTCACGCATACCTAGTATCTAACAGTTTTTCGCTAATAACTTCTGATAGAGGCAAGCTAGAGCGATGAAAACGCCTTAAATGTGTTGACTCGACGATACGGATCGACTGATATGCAGCACGACCTTTTCCGGTCAGTCCATGACCTTGACCTGAGGTCAAATTTTAAAAGTTGACTTTTCAGGGTCAAATTATAGTTCATTCGACGCGTCTCGACGAGAGGAACACGATGCTGGCAAAAGTAATGTCGTGCCTCTCTTGAGTCAAAAGTTATTGAAGAAAATATTTTTCCTAAAAAGCGGCTATTTTTGGAGTTTTAGCCCTCTGGAGGCTGAACCGTTGACCTGAGGTCAAATCTGAGGGCATATTAGTGAAAGAGCGTTAAAAGAGCTATTGAATGCGCTTTACCGCGGCGCTGTAGCTCTATCGGTTCCCGAGTAAGCCGTTGGCAGTTTCCAAAATGTTTAAATTGTTAACATTTTACCTTTGGTGACCTCTGGTGACCTGACCAAAAAAATGACCAATGTGTTTTCGTCCTTATTTTGGGCTTTCTTTCGAATGCCGCTTACCTCGTGTTGCTACGTGGCCCAGGAGCCGAGTTAGAGGGGGGGGGGGGTGTTCAGACACCCCCCGGCCCGGCGCGGAAGTCATGGAGCACCGGCCCGGCGCGCACCGGCGGCGGTGAGCCTCCCGGCCACCTTCCGCGCGATGGGGGGAGGATTTTTTGCCCCCCCCCCCCCCGTATCTCCGAAACTACTAGACGGATCCGTAAAATTCAAACGGCGCTCGATAGCCCTATAAAATTTGCCCTGCGGAATCCAATTTCATTGACCTCGGGGTCACCGATGACGTCACAGGTCAGGTTAAAGATAAAATGTTTGACCGTTAACTCTCCGTTTGACTTCTAGGGAATGCGCTACAACATCGAGTAAAACGCATTTTGTCGAAAATCAGCGATAGGGTATAATTTGCCTGATACATACGTTGCTATTGGAGGTCCTGATAATGCCAGGTCAGGTCACAGGTCAGGTCACCAAGGGTTAGCACATGAACCCAACTTTACTAGGGTTGTGCGATGCATGTTTTATGGCCAATTTTTCATTTCCAACTCAACGATGTTGGTTATGAGACCATCAGGTACGGTTTAGGTCACTTTCGGTGGAGGTCAGGTCAATGTCAGGTCAAAAAAGGTCAAATTTCAAAGTTGATAGTTTTGAATAAAATGGGTATCGATTCGATGCAGCCTGTCACGGCGAGTCTAATGGTGGCCTTCGTTTTGCGCTACGTGGTCTAGAATTGCTAAAAATTGGGTTTGAAAATTTGGCGTCATCAATTTTGAACAGTTTTATTTTTTTGCTGTAACTTGGCCAAAAAGAGTTATCGATTGGAAATTTGGTATGTGAGTAGAAGTCGATAGAGGCTATTATATATATTCCGGTTTTTCGAAAATAGAAAAACTTGGGATTTATTTACTATTATATCAAGACAATTTTTTATCTTTGGAGGTCAAATTTTACCATTTTAAAAAAATTCGAGATAACAGGATGGTAGCCCAGGTAATTTTACACATTTTATGTCTTAAACATTTTTCTGTATCATCAAAGCTATAGGCCTGACAGCTCTTTCCGCGAAACCTTTTTTTGGGGTTGAAAATCCAATCTTACCAAGTTAGTACTATGGCTATAATCCTCATTCGATGCTGCGAAGTGGGGTCAGTTTTTTACCAACTGATTTGAATCATGCCAGATAGAATACGGTTGTAGATGCCCACAACATGTTTAATTAGGATTTTTTATTGTTGTGACCCTAGGTCAGGTAAATTTTTTTACCTCTACCATTAGAAACCAATGAGAGAAATACGTTTTCGCTTGTAACCTTCGAACAAAGGAAGGAAACGAACAAAGGTGGCACGAAAATTATTATCTCACTAGTACGAATCGAAGGATAAACATTTTGACCTTTTTGTGACCTGACCTGATCTTTCCATTGGGTATCATTTCATGCGTAAAGGCGAAAAGCACAGTGGTGACAAAATCGTTTCCCTAACTTTAACCCGCGCCGTGCCGGGGGCATTCTTACGCCCACGTTCCCTCAAGTTTTTTTTTGCGAATATCTCAAAACCAGCGGCGCGATGTGCCGCCATTTTTTTGCACAACTTATCCCACATCTTTTCCGCGCAGGTTGTGAAAATTTTAGGTCCAGGTCGTCAAAGGTCAGGTCACCAAATGAGGTCAAGTGACCCAACCTCCAAAACAAAACTTACGCCCAAGCTATACCCACGGCGGGATTAATCTGAAAATTGCAAGATTATATTAGAGTGACCATGTCTATAAAACGTATTCTTCGGAATTTTGATATTCGTGACCTGAGTTCCGGTCATTTTCGCGACCATTCAAAGGGATCATTTTCAACTACCCCTGTTTGGCATGCGATTCACTCTTTACACTCAGATTCAACTCAAATTGCAGTTCACCTTTGATGTTCTAGGCGAAATTGTGTATGAGTCAACTGACTAACGCTGACTGAACGTACACGCAGTATTGACGCTCCTTACTCAACTCTTGACTCAACTCACTGTCTAAAATGTTAAGATTAACTTAAGTCTAACTCGACTCAACAGCCCGATATTTGTATCTGGCTCGACTCAAACCTTACTCAACAGGTCAGTAACTGTAACTGACTTGACTCAAATTTGACTCATTTGAGTCAGCGTCGAGTCAAATTTATGACTCAATTATTAGTCAAGCACTACTCTGGTTTAAAGGACGATGGCGATTTCAGCCCTTTCCCGCCTTCGCCACTCAATATGCTCGGTGAACGCAAACCCTACATTTTTGTTTTGTATTGTTTTATTTTCGCGACTTTCTTTCTTTCCAGGGATTATCGGCGATCCTGTGGCTGTGGCCATCACTTCGGAGGCCCATCGTGACCCGGATGAAGATGTGGAACCAATGCGGTTGGGGAATCTGCTGCACGCCGGTGAAAGGGGGCTTCGCACTCCACCTCTGCAGCGTCACAGGAGCTTTAAACTCGTAGCAACCAAGGAAAACATGATTCAGCCAATTGCTCAGGTTACACCTACTAAACGTGGGGAAACGAAAAGGGTGGAACCCGATTCAGACTCATCTGGATCAACGCTAATACTGCACTCTGGAGACACAGACCGAGGACCTTCGACGGATGTAGATAGTGACTCGGATTTCGATTGGCTGCCTGAGAGCCAAGATGACCTGGATGGCTCTCCATCATCCTCGAACCAGACGTCTCCAAGCCAGAACAATCAGAATGTAACCGTCGCATATCACCGGCCTCCTCCAGTGTCTCCAGGCACAGAAGATAAAGCTTCTGTTTCCGATGACCGGCTTCCTCGCGTGTCTCCAAGCAGAGGAGACAATGCTGATGTCGCAGATGACAGTGTCTACATTGAGCCTCGGGAGTCTTCAGACACAGAAAGCGTCACTGATTCTGGACCCAGCATCTTTTACAGACCCGCCACCTCTACTAAAGTGTACGACACGGTAAACGCATGCTTGTTTTGTTCCAAGCTTATCAAACAGAAGATGCGCAGGCACTTGATAAGAAAACATCAGTCGGAGACTGCAGTGGCTGAGGCAATGGCAGGGTCACGTAACCAGCAAGACACCAAGTTCACCTTGCTGATCAATCGTGGAAATTTCCAACACAACCTGAGAGTCTTGGAAGATGGAAAAGGGGAGATTCTTCTAAAGCGGAGGCCTGGACGATCTGCGATACCAATCGGCAGGTTTCTTCCGTGTCCCGGATGTTTCGCGTTCATGCTACGCACTGACCTTCAACAGCACCAGGTAGTATGCCCTGGTAGCAGCGACGACGACGGCCTTGATGGGGCGCTCACCGTCGCGAAAGCGGAGAATCTTCTTCTCAGGTTCCGTGCCGAGGACTCGCCGGCGTTCCTGAACGACATCCGTGATGAAACAGTGAGAGATATCATATGTGGAGATGCAACGCTCACTTCCTATGCCAAGTACACAGTGGACAGCAAAGGTGAAGGAGAAAATCACATCAAGTCGCTTCGTGCAAGACTAGTCAAACTAGCCAAAGTGCTTAGCGATCTACGCAAGAAAAGACGGGAACCAAACCTCACGGTGCGAGAGATGTGCGACGCACGCTACTTCGACGACATCGTGGCCGTCACGAAGGAGGCAGCGGGATACAAAAGTGGCACCAAGAACACCCCGCCGACGTTCATGATCCCTTCGGTGCCACGAACGGTGGGGACAGCGCTGGGAAAGGTGTGCCACGTTCTTCTTGGCGTGGCACTGCGCGAGGAGAACGAGGAGCTGCAGCGCAAAGTATCCTCGTTCAGGGGACTCCTAAACAACGAATGGGGAGACAGGGTGGGACGGGCCTCAAGCGAAACACTAAATATGAGAAAGCAGAATGTTGAAAAAGAGCTACCAACTACGCACGACATGCAGCGTCTTCAGAAACATCTGCAAGCAAAGTTGAAAGCTGCCATAGGTGCCGCTCGGGTCAAATTCTCTGTGAGGGCCTACAACAACTTGGTATCAGCTGTTGCTGTCAGCCTGATGGTTTTCAACAAGAGGCGAGGCGGAGAGGCCGTAAAAATACGTCTACGTGACTACACATCAAGGGCGTCATATACACAAAACGAGACCGTGATCAAATCCTTGTCGGCGCTAGAAAGACAGATCATGGACAAAATGTGTCTCATTAAGACCAGAGGCAAGCGCGGCAGGACTGTGCCTGTCATCATCCCACAGCTGGAAAAGGAAGCGGTGGACCTACTAGTGTCACTCAGAGGTTGCGTGGGCCTACGCGACGACGCGCCAGATGAAGCCCTGCTGTTTACCAGGGCTCCTAGTGGAAAGCCTTTGAATGGCTGGTACGAGCTTCGGAAGGCCTGCCTGGAAGCGGGATGCAAAAACATAAAAAGCATAACATCAACAAACATGAGGAAATATTTGGCTACGGTTGTACAGATCATGAACTTGAGCGAAAATGAGATGGACCAAGTAGCCACTCACCTCGGGCATGATCTTGCCATTCATCGGAAGTACTACAGACTTCCCGATAGCACGGTGGAGCTCTCGAAGATCGCCAAGCTCCTGCTTTCAACGGAGGGAACGCTCGCCTCTAATCTCGACGACGACCCCGAAGGTGAGCGAACATTTGAATGGTTTCAACTGCAATGTCTTGTTCTTTGTATTTGTGGTATTCCAGGCAGACCGATAGACTGACAGTCTCGTCGGGTCTCGTCGGGTCTGTATGTCTGTCTGTCTGTCTGTCTGTCTGTGTCTGTGGCTGTGTCTGTCTGTCTGTCTGTCTGTGTCTGTCTGTGTCTGTCTGTGTCTGTCTGTGTCTGTCTGTGTCTGTCTGTCTGTCTGTCTGTGTCTGTGTCTGCCTGTGTCTGTGTCTGTCTGTGTCTGTCTGTGTCTGTCTATGTCTGTCTGTCTGTCTGTCTGTGTCTGTCTGTCTGTCTGTGTCTGTCTGTCTGTCTGTGTCTGTCTGTCTGTCTGTGTCTGTCTGTCTGTCTGTGTCTGTCTGTCTGTCTGTGTCTGTCTGTCTGTCTGTGTCTGTCTGTCTGTCTGTCTGTCTGTGTCTGTCTGTCTGTCTGTGTCTGTCTGTCTGTCTGTGTCTGTCTGTCTGTCTGTCTGTCTGTGTCTGTCTGTCTGTCTGTGTCTGTCTGTCTGTCTGTGTCTGTCTGTCTGTGTCTGTGTCTGTCTGTCTGTCTTTCTGTGTCTGTCTGTCTGTCTGTGTCTGTCTGTCTGTCTGTGTCTGTCTGTCTGTCTGTCTGTCTGTGTCTGTCTGTCTGTCTGTCTGTCTGTCTGTCTGTGTCTGTCTGTCTGTCTGTCTGTGTCTGTCTGTCTGTGTCTGTCTGTCTGTGTCTGTCTGTGTCTGTCTGTCTGTGTCTGTCTGTCTGTCTGTCTGTCCGCCGCTGCCCCGCCGCCGCGTGGCCGCCACACCCACGCAAGACGTGTGACGGGACGGGGTCACGGCGTGGGGGTACCGCCGCTGCCCCGCCGCCGCGTGGCCGCCACACCCACGCAAGACGTGTGACGGGACGGGGTCACGGCGTGGGGGTACCGCTGCTGCCCCGCCGCCGCGTGGCCGCCACACCCACGCAAGACGTGTGACGGGACGGGGTCACGGCGTGGGGGTACCGCCGCTGCCCCGCCGCTGCGTGGCCGCCACACCCACGCAAGACGTGTGACGGGACGGGGTCACGGCGTGGGGGTACCGCCGCTGCCCCGCCGCCGCGTGGCCGCCACACCCACGCAAGACGTGTGACGGGACGGGGTCACGGCGTGGGGGTACCGCCGCTGCCCCGCCGCCGCGTGGCCGCCACACCCACGCAAGACGTGTGACGGGACGGGGTCACGGCGTGGGGGTACCGCCGCTGCCCCGCCGCCGCGTGGCCGCCACACCCACGCAAGACGTGTGACGGGACGGGGTCACGGCGTGGGGGTACCGCCGCTGCCCCGCCGCCGCGTGGCCGCCACACCCACGCAAGATGTGTGACGGGACGGGGTCACGGCGTGGGGGTACCGCCGCTGCCCCGCCGCCGCGTGGCCGCCACACCCACGCAAGACGTGTGACGGGACGGGGTCACGGCGTGGGGGTACCGCCGCTGCCCCGCCGCCGCGTGGCCGCCACACCCACGCAAGATGTGTGACGGGACGGGGTCACGGCGTGGGGGTACCGCCGCTGCCCCGCCGCCGCGTGGCCGCCACACCCACGCAAGACGTGTGACGGGACGGGGTCACGGCGTGGGGGTACCGCCGCTGCCCCGCCGCCGCGTGGCCGCCACACCCACGCAAGACGTGTGACGGGACGGGGTCACGGCGTGGGGGTACCGCCGCTGCCCCGCCGCCGCGTGGCCGCCACACCCACGCAAGATGTGTGACTGCCGCAGGGTTCGCGTTATCCTAAAGGTTGTTTTTACTAAAATAAACCTGACAGGTTATGTTCTGTGTATTTTGTGAACTATTCGTCAGTCGCTATGCGTCTGTGATGACTAGATTGACTGAGAAAGGGGGAATTCGTTCAAAGACTTACGGCCACGACAAATACGGTGCACAGCTTAAGCAGGTTACATGACGTCGGCAGCATCTCCTATTATTTCTACAGTTACTGGTGAGGACAAAGGTTCACTCCCTGTGTTAGTGTGTTGTTGTTGTTGTTGTTGTTGTTGTTGTTGTTGGAATAGGCCTTTTCGGTCCGCAAAGATCATTGCATGGCCATGGGATGAGAGGGTAGCGTGAGACATTGGGCTGTGCTGACTGACCACCGACTGGTGCACAGCAGTGGCTGAGCCAGTCTTGATGGGGCCGGTGTGTTCGGGTGGGACGGGCCACCCGGCCACTCAAACGGTTATCGCGGAGAGGCATAACTTCCTGCAGGGGACTGCCCCCGCAGGAGTCTGTCCTCCAACGGTGTCTAGGTGGGTCCCGGACAGGGTACTGTGATCAAGGGTGCTGTGATCCAATGGGCTGGTCCAGAGGACAGCGAGCATGGATCGTTCATTGTCGGCGTTTCAGTTGAGATATTACTTACGGGTTATTACTTACGGGTTTCCCATCTACATCCGTCTGTCAAAAGAAGTCATTCCCCCTTTTTTGTCATTTCCCCCTCAGAGGCAGTGGTGTGGGGCCCTCAGAGGCACTGGTGCAGAAACCACAAAGGAGCCGGTGTGGGCCCTCAGAGGTGCTGGTGTGAGGCCCTCACAGGGACGCCGGTAACGGGCCATATGATGCCAACAACGGGCCTTCACAGGCCGGCAAGTGAGGGCCGGCAGTATCTTTAGGAGCCCTGTGAAGTCCTTAGATATCGACAATCGGCATGGTATACTCTCAGACGCCGGTGGGGCCCCAGAGGCGCCGGTGTGGGACCCTCAGAGTCGCCGATGTGGGGGCCTAAAGAGACACTGGTGTCTCAGAGGTGGCGGTGTAGGGCCCCCAGAGATGTCTGTGTGGTGCCCTCACAGTCGCCGGTGAAGACTTTCAAAGGCACCGTTGTGGGGGTCCTCACTCCTCAGAGACACAAGCAGGGGGGCAATGGGTCTTCGAGAGGCCAGCAAGGGGCCGACAGAGGCCTTCAGGAGCCCTGTGGGATCCTGGAGACCGGCGTGGTACTCTCAGGCGTCTCTGGGAGCCCTCAGAGTCATCAGTGTAGGGCCCACAGAGTTGCAGGTAGGTAGTCGTCAGATGCGCTTGTGTAAGACCTTCAGAGGCGCCAGTGTGGGGTCCTCAGGGCCCTCAGAGCCGCCACCGATGTAGGGCCTTAAGAAACATTGGTGTTGGGCCCTCAGAGCCGCCGGTGTGAGGCCCTCACAGGCGCCGTTATGGGCACTCAGCGACACTGGTGTGGAGCCGTTCCATGCGGGTATGAGCCAGGCAGGACCCTAATTAGAGCTGACGCTTAATGGGTCAGCAAGGGCACTCAGAGGCCAGCACAGGACCCTCAGGAGCCGGAGTGGGCCCTTATGGAGATGTGTGATGTGTGGCGACTCAGGAGCCCGTGACTCCGTGAGGTGCTCTCACGAGTCCTGCAGGTCTTATCTCAGTCGAAATAAGGCACGCTTGGACCCTGAGCGGCCAATTGGCATTGCAGGGCCTCTCGGGCCCATAGGGCACCATGCATCTAATGAAGCGGCATGCGCCCTTTGTGCCCCCCCCCCCCCCCCCACCCCCGGTTACGCTGCACTGGTTGCGGCCATACAGGTAAATCATGTTCTAACCGTCCCTATTCCCAAGCATAGGCGGCGGCCGATTCCTGGTTTGCGCAATCTGAGTGACATCGTTAGACAATACGGTCAATAGGGTTGAAGCGGCATAGCTTCCCTGTGGTAAGAAGCAACATATTTTTAGACAAACTAAAGGCAATGACAACTAAATTGAGGTCACTAAAACGACTCTGATCACAAAAGTAGTTACTAGGAAGGCTTTCTAATCCATTTTTATTTAGTTCCTCGTTATAGGCGTAAGAAGTGTAAGTCAGAATGGGGAGGGGGCATACTTGTACTGAATGCCCCCCCAGGCTCCTGTCAAGGGGGGGGGGGGGGCATATGCCCCTAATGCCCCCTGGATCCGCCAGTGGCCGAAATCGAAGAATTGATAGACTATTTTGGATCAGATGTGTCCTCGTGATGGTCATCCGATGTCAGGGTCAGGTCATTGACCCACCTTGGCCTCTAATGATGTCATCAGAAGTCAAATCATAGTAAGGCTATTTTAGGTCAATAATTCGATTTATATGTTCATTCAGGGCAACTGAGATTGACTGTTAAGCTTATTTATCGCCTAAAATATCAACAATAGGTATCTAAATCAGCACGTATGCACATTGCACATGCATTTGTAGTTACAAACAACCAGTGATTAGCCGGTCGCTGCCGCCGGCCCGCTGCGGGCGTGACCTTGTGGACTTTTTTATAGTCCTACAACATGTGTATGTATGTTAGAGGAACAAAAGACATGCCAACTGTTCTAAATTGACCATCGAACGCGATGATGAAAGTTTCAGATCGCTATCTCTAATGAATGTCCTAATATCCTTACGCAAAGTTGAAAATATGCGATTTTCCGAAAATTTGATTTTTGACATGCCATAACTAGGTCAAATAGTAACCTAGGGGCTAGGACCAAAGCATTTACCGCCAACCCCGATCACTCGTCGAGAGCAATCCGTTTTTTTTTCTCGCGAGGCTCTACGACGCTTAATTTTGAAACGGCTGGGGATTGCATCACCCCCCCCCCCCCCCCACACTGACTGCCCGAGTTATAGAAAAGGTTCTGCTTGGGCGAGGGTTAAAAGGCAGCGGCTTACAACTTATGGTATTTTACACGATAACAATATCGTGCCATTTGGTTCTGCTTGGGGTCCATCTTAACAGCAAATGCAAACTAAAAAAACTGTGTCCCCGTAAATGTTAATGTTAATCGAAAAAAATCAGGTCCACACAAAAAGTGTGTCCATCTAAATGTGTTTTTTCATCACATCTATTTACGGCCGGGTACAAGAGTCCGGTCGTCTTACCACGACGGTCAGCATATATGTTCGTGCCAACTTACCAGCGACTCTTCCAATCTGGAATGAAACCTCCTAACACCTATAGTTTACGGGTCCACCGAAATGCAATAAACTCTCGTGTCCACCTAACCCAGAATTTGGAGAATGTGTGTTAGCGGCGTTTGAAATTTTGCCATTTTTAAGGCGAAAATGGCGAACATGACGTCACTAAAACGTCATTTTCTCAAAAATTTTCCGACGGATTTCGCTCAAATTTTCAGGGAACGTGTCAAATTGATGTATGATAAGGTACTGAAAGTTTGACGTCGCTGGCGTAACGCGTTTAGAAGTTATTGGCGAAAAACGTTCTTTCTGATGACGCCCCCAGATTTAACCTAAGAATAACGATTTAGCCTTCAGGAGACAAAAACTGCTAAAATGTACGTTGTTTGCTGATAAAATGTACGTTGTTTGCTGCTAGTTTTTCTTCAATAGCGTTTCATTCAGAACTTGCAAGAGCGCACTTTTATCAGCATCGTGCTCCTCCCGTCGAGAAGCATCGAAGGTCTTGTTGCACATCAGGTGATCCGTGTAGTCGAGCTAAACACATCTAAGGCATTTTCATCGCTCTGGCATGCCTTTATCAAAAGTTATATGCGAAAAACTATGATACCGTTGACGACCTGAAATGACCTCATGGGAACATGCATGGCGGGTGTAGTTTTCCGGTTCAGTGGTCATGTTTACTTGTGATTCATTGCTTCACTGTGTTAGGAATGACACTCGTCCAAAAGAGGCGTCTTTCAATTTCTACCATTGACTTTGCGACCTCTCCCATTGATAACGAGAGAGGGCGTGAAAGCGAGCTGACCTTGGGTCACAGACATTAAATCTCCGAGGTACAAATTTTGTACATGTTGTTGCCTTTATCAACATAGGCGCGGGAGCCGGGGGGGCAGTGGGGGCAGCTTGCCCCCCCCCCAACTCTGGGGCCGTGGGGGCGGTGCCCCCACAGCTTTGAGACGGAATACCACACTTTTTTTGCAAATGTTTTCTTTTTTTGTTGAAAAAGCCGAGGGGTGAAAAATAAGTGGCCTAAAACCGGTGAGAAAACTAGATTTGGGGGTACCCTAGGTTAATCTCTATTATGGTGTGCCCCCCCAGTCGGAAAGTAGTTCCCGCGCCCCTGTAATTATCAATTCCTGAAAGTTTGAAAGAGATCTGTCACTATGTATAGCTACAACAGGCGTTACAGTCTTTACTGAGGTGAGGTCACTTGACGTGATCTGGTGACCTGACTTTGAGCGACTTTGGTCTGAAATTTTCACAACATGTGCAGAAAAAGATTATGACAAAATGTGACAAAATGGTGGTGCTCAACGTTTTTGAGATATTTGCAAGAAACCGCAGGGGGGGGGGCTGTGGTTTCTCGCAGATATGGTACTCATGAAAGAGTCGCGGAAAAGTATGGAATTTCACTAACCTTGGTTGTATCACCAATGGGGCCTGGCAGGTAGGGGTAATGGCGCTGCCTGGTGCCAAAAAAGGGGGCACGACCCCGGAGGACCTGCCGACCACTGATGTACAATTACATGTAAGCGAATGAGTGTAGTCTTTGTTTGATTGTGTCTTTGTTTGACAGCTTTGAGTACCTACTTGCATGGTCCCAGTTAAAAATATCAAGCTCCACATCGGGAGAATCATCAGGTCGCTTCGCGTAGGACGAGAGCGTTGGTTTCAGAAGACACAACGCCTAAGTGTGTGGGATCGAATCCTCGCGACCTCTAATAGTTTTACAGATACAGGCCGGCATAGGGTCAGTCGTTTGTTGACGCTCCAGATCGATCATTTTAAATCCAGCAGCGTCGCTGACGTGGGGGTTGGAAATGTCGCGGGCCTGCACTTATCAAAATAGAGGTAGGTATGGACTTCCCACTGCTGGA